ACGCCTCAGCGGTCACTAGTGACTGCCGCGCGCGTGCGGTGAAGTCTACCGTCGGCCAGCAACAGCGTTGAGGGTACAACTCTCAGAGAAGGCTTCAGGGGAGCTGAAAGATAGAAATTAAACTGATCGAGCAGATCGCTGGAATTCCGGCTTAGTTTTCTGGCTTGGTACAGTTTCTCGAGGTACTTCAACGGCTTCGGTGTCAGTTGGTAGAGTGTGAACTAGATTTGCAATGTTGTACACAGGCGACAACAGTTCCTTTTTCTGGTCGTCCAACCGCGGGTAATTGCACCAGCGAAGTGGCGTTTTAATCTATTGGATGTTCAACACTGTTAGATGAAAGATAATTGCAGGCTTCTAAAGGACTGAAGGCCCTTCAACTCTCACTAAATCTAAAGATTAGCATTCTTAAACGACCTGAACTTATATTTGGATTCTGATTTGTTCCTTCTTCTTCTAAGAGGACTCTTCATAGTTAAAGGATCTCTAGACAACAGGGCACGCAAGGACTATTTTGAGACACTTGTACTCTTTGTTGTGGGCGAAGTCGTCTGACGTGAAACAAAGCTTAAGCAGTAGCAATCTCTGCAGTAGATTGCTCCAGATGTACGTGATGTCTAACATTCGTGTTACGCATTTTTGGCAACTATAATAAAGGAATTATATACTTCGTTAGAAACGTGTGTCCCCAGCAGTTGCTTGCGCAACTTGCATTTCTCCTTCATGTGAAACGTGGGCACAGTACATAAGAAGTTGGCTTCTATCTCCAGAGGTGCCTCATTCCGGTGAGGATTCCGTTCGGGTAAATCTTTGTCGTAATCACGAATTACCATCAGCAATGAATTTACTACACGTTGCCTCAGACAGGAGTTGCTGAAGAGGTTAGATGGTCAAATTCAGAACCTAGAGATTGTTAGTTCGAGTCGCGATTGAGTCACTTGCCGTTCTTCCTTCTGAGGTTAATAAATTAATACAAGTTTGTAAGAAGAAACAAGAGACTGCAAACTATGCCTGTCACACAGCTGATGCCAATTCTGTCTTTAAACCACGAAACTCTTCGCTGATGTCATTGAGATGAAAATTGGCGCCCTACCATTAATCTTATGAAAAGAAGGGCGTCAGAATAGCTGCATCTTGAAAATATAAGAAAATCTAACATTCCAACGGTTACAAACCTTCCTTCTTTCCTTTCCCTTTGACGCGTCTGCCAGTGATCCGTTTTCGTAGGAGGAGACTTCGCGCAAATTTCAATTCCAAGTTGAAGTGAAATGTAGTAGAACATTTATATCATCACGATTTGTTGAGTCAGAAATATTGCCTCATAAGAGCACTTTGCAACAAGCTTTGAAGAAAATACCTTTTCATCTGAAGGTTGAGTATTCTGTTTGTGCATTGGTGAACATACTACAAACTGAAAAATGTATCATATCGGTTTATTTATACACAGCGCAAGTAAACAAGGTGGTCAGTCAAATGACTGATCAGTACCGGCGTTTCGGTTCTTGTCTCACAGGCTTCCTTCAGGGTAGTTCAGATTGGATTCCATAGTTGGTTCTGTGGTTCACGGCTGCTATGATATCTGGAGCTAAAGGTAAGGTTTTGACACATGCTGCTGACGGAATGGAACGTTTTGGCAAAGCGGTTTTGGTGCAGGCCGCTGGTTAGTGTCAGCGTTCAATCCTGCGGTCGACGCATTGAATCTGTGCATAGATCAGTTGCATTAACTGCATAATTGAGCCGATAAAATTATATATCAATGGATAGCTCTCTTTGAGCGAAGTACGATACCGTTGTATGACCATTGAATTTCTTACTACAGTTCGATTGTGACGACTGTGCGGTATCAGTATGTATGCACCCAGTTTGCGGTCAAAAGCTTGTCTATGTCATTGACAGATGATCATCTATATCAATTATTTGACTTCAACATTCATATTTACTATCAATGGAAAACTCTCTGCGAATTTGAATGATTTTCATTTTATTATTCGACTGTGGTAACTGCGCACGATCGCTAAGTCAGCGCGGGGTCGTTTAATCTCGTTTAATCTGGAGTCAGAGTTTATACAATTGCATTTGGTCATCTGTATCAATTAATCAATTTAATTTCTCGCATTATACATCACTTGTAAGCTCTTGTGAGCAGACATGAAACTTTCTTTAGTCAGTCAGTTTCCATGGCCGTTGATCCATTCTGGTCACGGAGACTGACGCATCAGACAATTTCTCCAACGTTCCTGATCCTGTGGAAGCATTTGACCTTCGGCAGGAGATACCCTCAGTCTGAACCAGAAAGAAATTATTCCTGGCCATCTGCATTGAGGGTCGGTTTTACAAGTAATAGCTGTTTCGACTTCCTTCATGGAAGCATGCGAAGGACTTTTCCACGCCATCGTAGCTGTAACTTCTCTATCTGTAAAAGCAGCAGCTGTGCATCAAGGTTGTCTAAATGGTGGAACGTGTCTAGCCACGCGAAGACAGTGATTGTCTCAGAATAATAATTAAAACTGATGGTACCCAGAATCGATGCTTTTTAATCATGGCCCAAGATTCATAACCGTAGGTAAGCATCTGGATGAAGCTCCACTAGAACACCAAGAGTTTAGTCTTCAGATTACACTCTGTTTTAGTCACAACGGTTTGGGCTAGTTCACACAGAAAGCTGCTGGTCATTCCAATTCACCGGTCCATCTCTACTTCACACGAAATCCGACTATTCTGTCCATATTGATTGAATGGACATGAAAGCTTTAAAGTTCATAAATCTTGATACTCTGCCTTAAACCTGATAACCCAGAGGACAGTGTGAACAACAACAATTCTATCCATACATAACACAAATAGGAGATGGGACAGAACGCAGCCTTGGCAGAGATTAGTGCCAACAGTGAAAGGTCTCGACTTGATGTCATTAACCAAGAGTATTTGGGTGGCCGGAGTAACTGGACATTGATCCCGTATGTTTGCAGGCATGCACACGGCAAATCCAGTCATAGGCACTCTCTAGTCAACAAAGGACATGTAAACGGAATGAGCGAACTCCAACGACTTCTTAACAATCCAACGTAAGATAAACATCTGGGAAGAGATATTT